TAATGGCTCTGGTCCTCCTGTAGTTGTCCAGTGAGGCATGAGGGCCATACCCGTCCTGATGTCTTTCTCCTGGAGAGGGGGTACTTTTAACATCAACCCCTATGCACTCAGGCTTGTCCTTCAGGGAACCCTGAAGGATATTTTTAATTTTTATTTATATTCCCTTGCAGTGCTTAGCCTCGCAGCCTAAGCAAGAATTCAGATAACCAGTCAGAGGGGGTTCTGGGTGGCCCCTCTCTGCTTGGTCTAGGGGCAGAAGTCCCCTTTAAGATGAGTGGAGATGGGTTTTGGTAACTCCCTGTATAGAATAACAACCTCATCTGAGTCTCATGGTCCTCCATAGCTAACTTATGATAATGTAGCTGAATAGGTTTTGCTACCAAATTATCTATCTGTTGTTTCACAAAGTTAGTCAGGCTATTTAAGGCCCAGAGAACAAAAGATATAAGTAAAATTAACCCAATTAATGGTCCCAAAATGGAAAGAAATACGGTTGACAGCCATGGAGAGGTTGAAAACCAATTCTTGTACCAGCTCTCATCTTTCTCTTTCTCTCTCTGTCTTTTCTCAAGGCCTTCTCTGACCTTTTTCATGTTCTCTTTAACCATCCCTGTCTTATCTATGTAAAAGCAACATTCTTCTTTAAGGACTATATATTGTCTAGAGCTATACACAGTCTTTTCTATTGTTAAAGAGTAAATCAAGTCCAATAAAGTCCTTTGCAATTTTTTGGAGATCACTTCAGACAGCAAAACGAAGGATTTCTTCAGATTAGTGATGTCAATCTCTAGCTGTTTGATGTCCTTGTCAATGGCCCTTTGAAGTTTTGAGTAGAGTAAGTCTGGAGGCCAGCATCAGGATTAGAACTTCCAACAGCAAACACTATGGGTGATTCATTTTTACTTGGAAAGGAAAAGAAGAGAATTTTCAGGGAGATTTCTCTTCCCTGGATGTCGATTGTTATTCATCTTATTTATAATTGGGCCTGGCTTTGTGGGGGTATCTATTTATTTCATTAATCTTTTTGGCAGCCATTTAGCTGTGCCCTCTTTGGTATCAAACAGGCATATCAATCCTTGGCCCCATATGAGAAGTGGGTCTGGACCATTCTATTTGAAGGTAAGGGAGTCCTTCCACATACCTGTGGCATAGTTTTTATTGGTCTCAGCATCCCAAAGGCAATCAGCAGCAGGTTTGCCATGAGCATCTAGATTTAGAACATTAAAAATGAGCAAGGCATGATGGAGACTATTTCTGGGAGACTCCTTCTGGGGGTGTAGCTCCCCCTCTTTTGTTTTAAAAGCCAATTTTTCAGAGTTCTTGTAAAACCAGGGCAGAAGCACCAGTAGCTGTTGCTCCCACACTCAGAGAGTCATGAAGACACTATTTCAAAGTTCCACAATATCTGTTTTATAATACCCTGTCATCGAGGATTACAAGGAATTCCAGTAACATGGCTAATACCAAATTGTCAACAAAACATCTCAAATGTCTGACTGCAACAGTCAGTTTTGTTTGTCTTAATCTGATATGGAACACCAAGCATAAGAAGATAATATAGGCAATAACTAATTGCATTTTTGATTGTCTTTCTTTTTAAAGTAATTGTAACTAGAAAGCCTGAAAAGGTGTCAAATCACACATATATATTTTAATTTTTTTAAAATCAGAAATGAGCAACATCTACTTATCATAATTGGTTAGATATAAGTCCACCAATATAAAAAAATTTAGGACACTGAAAACAAATTTTATAATTTGACTTATACACTCTCTAGAAATATCAAATTATAGTCTCAAGCTATTATTATTGAACATATGTAATAATCACTAAGCAACAGCACACCCCTTTGGAGCAGATCTCTGTAGATCTACAAAGATGTACTGTCTTGTGGTGATGTTATATAATACATCACTTTTTAAATCTTAGTGATGATCTTAAAAAAAGATTTTAAAATTATACCCATGATTACTAAGCTCTTTTATAACAAGACTGTTACTAGGCCTTTTCCTGAGAGTCAAAACTGTAGTAAGAACTTTGTCAGTCTCTCAAATAACATCAGCTAACTGTTCTTAGACAATAACCAGACTTTTTTCCACTCAGAGCACACTCCAAAAGATTATAAAACAATTTGTCAAAGATCTTTAAAAGGGAACCAAAAATTTACTGTAGGTGTTAAGATAGAAAATAAAATATTGTCTGGGCTTATCTACACAAATCTTTACTGATAACTTAGTTATACTTTTGAACCTTTAGTGAACCTGTGGAGCCAGGCAGGTAATGGATGTTTAGCCACACAATCAATTCCAACAAATATGTATATAAATATTCTTCATTATAAACCTTTATTTCAATTTAATTTTTGTTACAAATTTGTAATGAACTTTATAACGTGTGATCATATATTTTAAAAAATATATGAATACTGAGGACAAAAGGATAAGAGGGCAAATTTAATGGAGAGATAAAGCAGAACTCTTTGTCTTTTCCCACTTAGGGTAGCATATAAAATAGAACCTTTTTCCTTTTCTCAAATAAAATAGAAGTTTTCTTTGTACTTTTTTCTTTAGATTGCTTTCATAGGAAACTTTTTATACTTAGTAATAAAGTCTATAATAACTTTTTAAGTAGCCTCAGACTAGCAGGCATAAGTTAGAGCCCAGCAATTCTTGTTGAGACAAAACAAAAGCTGTTTACTTAATCTTTGCCTGTTTTTAGAATGAGGTGGTAAGTGCTGAAAACTGCAGTTTATGGCCTCAGGGATCACAAAAGGCAGACCAGCTACAGTGGCACAGCAATCTACATAGACAAACTTGTATTATATAGTAACCCCAATATAAAGAATAAAATTGTATGGCCAATTGCTTTTCTAAGGTCTGTAATCTACTTGATATACAAATTTGTTATGGCATTTTCTTGGGGTCCAGGCAATCCAGTATGAGCTCTTAAATGTTTTGTAAAATGAAGGAAACTACATGTTTCTTAAGTTGAGCTGTATTTGTAAAATTTGAAAATTAGCAATATCCTAAAAAAAAACAATTTTAATCAATTTTAAACCATGAGCTATGTACTGGCTATGAGTATACCAATTGAAAGCTTAATTTTTTGCATTTTAGATAGTGGCTACAGCACACAGTGCAATTATTTGTGTTGAAGCAGGGCGAATTCAAAAGAATAAACATGTAATCTAATTATATATATTGTCTTTCCATTAGAGGAGCTGTCTATTGATGTTGGAAATATACTTTTTATGGGCTATAAAGGCACGTGTAGGGAAAAACTACAACAAATTTGTCATGTAATAGATCAAATATCAGTATTCTTTAATAACCAATTTTATTATTGTTTGGAATAAGAAATACTTTATTTTATTTTTTTCTGGCCTGCTCTTATTTTTCCCTCTGTCTTTTCCTTTGTTTTCTTTCTTCCTTCCTTCCTTTCTTTCTTTCTTTCCTTTCTTTCTTTCTTTCTTTCTTTCTTTCTTTCTTTCTTTCTTCATTTCTTCCTTTCTTTTACATGTTAATCAAGGGCTTTATATGTTTGGTAATGCTCAATAACAAGATGCCCACACAATCAGAAGTGTAACCCAATACCCAACCTAGATATACCAACTACCTTTGACTGGCAGAGACATGGGAACATCTGCCTCCATGTTCCTCTCTCTCTCTCTCTCTCTGGAAGTGGAAGTTTCTGGATATGTCAGCTGATACAGACTCCAGTGGAGTTTTGCTAAGACAGACTCACATGTGTTTTGCTGAAGCAAGACTCATGTGAAGAGGTGATGTTTGGAGGGAGTATAACAGGACACAGTGGACAGTGATGGCGGGCTTGTACAGCTGGCTCTGCAATGCTTCATTGGTCTCATGTCTTCATCTTTGCTGATTTTTTATCCCTTGAGAGAGTCAAGGCAGAGAACTTCTCCTGGTGCCCCTGCTGCTCCTGGTCATTCTTGCTGACTCAGGATTATTTGGTGGAGGCCTGGCTGTTTCTGCTGGGTTGTGCCACACCTGATGATTCCGGTTTGCTGTCTTGACACGACTGACCTGGAATGCTGGAATCCTGACAATTTGAGATTGAAATCGCCCCAAGGAACTACTTGTAAACAGCAAACAGCTGAGCCCTCTGGCTTCTTCTGGATTGAGCTGCCAAGGCTGATTCTTGTGAACTGAACTCCTGATAACCAGACAATGGAGACTGGATTTGTTGCAAAGAACCATTTCTAAACAAGTCCATTTCCCCTGTATCCTAACAACCTTGCTTTTCCACAACTTCTGGTGGGTGGTGGGTAGAAGAGAGGTTAAGCATTTAAGAACCCTTATTTAAAATAGGTTTTGAAAAATCTAAGACAATTATCTCAGCTGTGGATATGCTCTTGGTTGGGGGGGGCAGAAATGGGGAAAGGGGATTACATCTGAAATGTAAATAAAATATCCAATAAAAAATTTAAAATAAAAAAGAAAGAAAAGAACCCTTATTAAAAATAGGTTTTGAAAAACCTAAGTCAATTATCTCAGCTGTGGATATGGTCCTGAGAGATGAACAGAAAGTCACATCCTATACCTGAGAACCCTGGAAAAGACACTGGAAAGAAGGAGAAGCAGAAATGACAACAGTAGCATGGCTACAGGGAGCGCCCAGAGCAGCTTCACCACCACATCATTAGTAGCTAAACCAAGTGGGTGGGAAGAAATGTAGTGTGACTTATCTTGTGTACCCAGCACTTTACAGGATCCACAGTTGAGTCTCTGATCTTCAGCCCTGGAGACTCATCATCCTGGGGACAGGACAAGGCTCAGGTCTTCCCTGTGTCCTTGTGATCACAGACTCTCAGCATGTGCTTCATAGTGAAGGAGGAAGCAGACCCTGGAGGTGACACAGCCGAGGAGTGACCCCTTCAGAGTTAATAATGGACTGAATCCACCTGGGCACTGCCCTGTTCACACTCAGTTCCCACAGCCTCATCCTGTCACAAAAGATACACACAGCATAGTGACACAGATTCTAGAAGGTTCTCCATCTGCCATTTATTTCTCCAACAAAACTCTAAGTATTCTTAATCCATTAAATTCACAAGCAATCAACCCTCAGGTCAAGACGTTAACAATCAGGTTCACACTCAGATTCTTATTCTCGGTGTGGAAGTGAGGAGCTGCAGCTCAGGGCAGCATGGAGCTGACAGGATGCAGATGTCCCCCAGTGTTTGGCTGGACCAGGAAGGTTGGCTGTGGAAGGGAACACAGGCAGTGCAGGGACAGGGTCCTGGGCTGCAGGGGCAGGCTGGGCTCCACAGTTCTTCATATTGAGCCCATAGAATCACAGCGAACATAAGACACTGTCGTCTAAAGAATACTGAGGACTCTGGACGTCACAGGAGAGACCTGAACACACTGTCTGTCACTCAGTCCACTCCAGGCTGCTGTCTTCATGCTAGAGAACAAGAGACATGAACCATCACTATGAAGACAACATCCCAACAACCCACCACTCACAGGGAATTCTGGGAGTCCCTGAAACCTAATCATGTTCACATTGCCACCCCCAAGAAGGCCCCAGAGTGTTGCCTTTACATTCTGGGAGAGACATATCAGAGCTCTGGGATCTGTCGCTGCCTAGGGTAAAACAAAACATATGTATATGGACATGTAGGTATTCCTATCAAGGCAAAAGTCGGGTCCTCAGATTCCCAGAGCTCCCAACGTCTCCAGCGTCACTCCAATGGCCTCAGGACAAGCCTGTCCCCCACACTAACCTGGAGCTGGAGAATAGTCCTCTCCTTTTCCACCTGTGAGAAGAAAAGCTGTGAGAATTCAAGTCACTTCTTGACACCAGGAATTTTCCAGAATTGGCAGCAGCAATTCCGGGTGTGAATGTTTCCCATTAATGAGTAGAGCACACTTCTAAAGGAGGCTGAGAGAAAACTCAGACCCTGTTTTTTCTTACCTGTATTTCTCCTCCTCTTCATCACAAAAGCCACCATAGCTCCAATGACAGCCACAACTCCAAGGACAACCAGAACAGCAATGATTGCCATGTTTGAGTCAGTGGATGGAGGAGGCTCTAGGAAGGACAGGTACAAGAAATGAAGGTAAGGGTCATGACCCCAGCTCTCAGCCCTGACCAGCTCAGGGTCTACAGAAGGCTCCAGGTTTTGCTGACCCCAACTCTTCCCCCACACCCTCCTTACCCCATCTCAGGGTGAGGGGCTCAGACAGACCCTCATGTTGCACATGGCAAGTGTAATCCTGCTCCTTCCCAAGAGGCACCACCACAGATGCCCACTTCTGGAAGGTTCCATCCCCTGAAGGCCTGGTCCCCACAAGCTCCATGTCCTGGGTCAGGTCTTCCCCATTCAACTGCCAGGTCAGGGTGATGTCAGCAGGGTAGAAGCCCAGGGCCCAGCACCTCAGGGTGACATCACCTTCAGATCTGGGGTGATGGGTCACATGTGCTGTAGGAGGATCTGTGGGGAAGATATAAAGAATTGTACCATTAACAAGACAAACTGAAATCTACACAAGACTCAGTTAAATCAGTCATGACTGGAACTATGTGTCTGTGTGACATTTCAACTGTCACTACACTAGTGACCTGCAGGTAGAGCTGGTCCCCTCAGCACAGAACTACACATTTTCCTGGGGGATTCAGAAGCTAAGAGGGAATTCACACGAGCCAGTGGTCAACATGGCCGATCTTATATGATGTTCTGTAGCATGAGACAGGTAGTCATAGAATGGAAGATGGAATGGAAAATATATAATTTGTATATGCGTTTGAGTTCATATCAAAATTAGAAATTAGGGCCATGTACTCCTTGAAGGTGGCCACCACTGAGAGTCAACCACTGTGGTCATCTTGCTGACCAGCATTAACTGTCAGTCTAAGCAAACAGCCATCAAGAAGTATGTAGCAAAAATGTGGTGAACCTCTGACACTCAGACAGACAAAATGACTCCCAGCCACTGCCTTTGGGGCAACAAGGTACAAGTGTGTTACTCAGGATCCATGGAGTGTGCTGTGGACCCCAGTGCAGCACTCACTGGAACACAGTGTGCTCACAGGGTGTGTGGATCTTCCCTCTCACTCCAGCCCTGGATTGCAGAAGACCCTGTCTCTCAGAAAGTCCAAATCCTGATTCACTAGTGGGAGCACTGTAACTTGTCGGGGCAGAGGAAGAGCAGGAGGCTTCTGGATGTTTAATTCTGACAGGAAACAGTCTAAGCCCCCAGGAATCTCTCCTTTAATGAGAACCTTGATTTAATTTGTCTAGTTATCCAGGTTAGCAGTCTCTCCTGCCACCTGTGGAGACAGATACAAATGATAATACAAGGGCATGGAGAAACAGGATCACTCCAGTGCAAACAAAAACTGACTAGAAGCAAAATAATGCCTTAAAAAAAGAGAAAGAAAAGAAGAAAGAGAGAAAAAGAAAAGAGATAAAAACCGAAAGTCCACAATTTATATTCCTCCACGGTACCCCATAAGTGCTCATGTGACCATTCACCACTTTAGTCATAGATTTGGGGTTTCAACGGAGGAGGGGGATGCAAACCCCATAGACAGGGAGGGATCTGTGAGAATGTATTCTTTGGAAAGTTCTAGAAATTGGGGGAACCAGCCTAGAATAGGGGAGTCCATCAGGTAAAGGAGACTTCTGGTCCCGAGGTTTAAGGGCTGACACAATCAACATGACAGGAGTCAGTGTCCACAGTGGGTGTGCGCAGAGAACCAGGCCTGGGAGAGCCCATGACTCACAGCAGGGAGCCCCTGCTGTTAAGTCAGGAACTTCTCTCCTTCCCTCCTGAGACAGACTGGGAACTGTCCAGGGAGAAGGCTGAGCCCTGGGAGAGTCAGTGCAGTCAGTGTGATGAGGATCAGGAGACCCAGAGACATTCTCTCCCCTCTGAGACAGGGGCATCCCCCCCCATCTGAGGGTTTCTTCTTCCCTAGGACTGAGCCCCAGCCCGAGGGCAGAGGGAGGAGCTGTCCCTGTCCCCTGCACCTGTGCGCAGCAGCGTCTCCTTCCCGAGCTTCAGGTATCTGCGGATCCACTCCAGGCACGTGCCCTCCAGGTAAGCCCTGCATCTCTCTGCAAAACCAGTCTGCTCCCACTTGCGTCGGGTGATCTGCGCCGCCGTGTCCGCCGCCGTCCACGTTTTCTGGTCTTCATTCAGGGCGATGTAATCGCGGCCATCGTAGGCGTACTGCCAGTACCCACGGAGGAGGCTCCCGTCAGACCCCACGTCACAGCCGACCATCCGCTGGAGCGTGTGAGAGCCTGCGGGAACCCCTCGGTCAGCCCCGCCCACCCGCCCAGGCCGCGCCCACTGTCCACGGCCCCGTCCACCCGCAGACTTCTCCAAACTGAAAGGGAAACTGGTCCCTGGTCCGTTCTGTTCCCGAACCTCGAACCTCGGACTTGGGACCTGGGATGTCTGCAGCCCCTGTGTCGGGATGTGGAGGGGTCGTGACCTCCGTCCCGGGGTCACTCACCGTCCTCGCTCTGGTTGTAGTAGCCGAGCAGGTTCCTCAGGCTCCCTTCGTAAATCTGCTCGTTGCTCTTGGCTCCCTGTGTCTGCCGCTCCCAATACTCCGGCCCCTCCTGCTCCATCCACCGCACGCGCGGCTCGTATCTCGGATTCTCCGCGTCGCTGTCGAAGCACTCGAACTGCGTGTCGTCCACGTAGCCGACAGCGATGAACCAGGGCTCCCCGAGGCCGGGCCGGGACACGGCGGTGTGGAAATACCGCAGAGAGTGTGAGCCTGTGGGAGTCGCGCGGTGAGACCCCGACCTCCTCCCGGGACCCCGAAGGGGTTTGCGGGCCGGGAGGGGAGGGGAGCGGGGCTCGGGACGCGGGTGGAGAAGGGGCGGAGGGTTCAGTGGGCGACGTGGGGAAGCGGCTTCCCCGTGTTGCCCCCGCCCCTCCCCGCGGAGCCCGTTTCCCTCCCGACCCCGCACTCACCCGCGCGGGTCTGGGTCGGGGCCAGGGTGGCCGCCAGCAGCAGGAGCAGCGTGCGCTGAGCCATCGCCCACATCTCAGATCCAGGACCTCGGAGTCCCGCGGCTGCTTCGACTTTAAAATCAGTGCCCGCGGCGACGCTGATTGGTTCCCAGAGATCGCATCACCCAATGGGAGTGAGAGTTGCCCTTCCGTCATCAGTGTCCGGGCAGAAGGACTTGACACAGGTTAGAAGCAGAAGTGAAACTGGGGAGATGGGGAATCCCCAACCCTTGGCTTCCCCACCCCTGACATCACCACCTAGAGACTAAGACTTTGCCTGAACCCTGTGCTGCAGACAGAGCGCTGTTTGTCATGATTCTCCGAGTTCTGACCCAGAAGCTGTCTGGACACCAGGAGAGACCCGCAGGTCAGACTCTCTGTGTCCTCTCCTCCACCCTTCCTCTTTCTTCTCTTCAGAAGTCAGAACCTGGACTCTTATAGAAGAAAAGCCGCTTCCAGGAATACAGTGGCAACACAAGCAGTTGGGGATGCAGTGGAGGGATGCTTCTTCTTAAAGCAGAGGCGCTGTCTGCAATCCCCACACGGACTCCATAGAGATCAGGCTCTGTGTTCACCTGCAATGGGAGACTCACACTCTAAAACCTGAGTGCAGGACTCTCATCTGTAAAGAGGAGACTTTGCCTCGTCCCTCGGGATCTATTTTCTCAGCCCTGTGTTTAGACACAGATTCCTTGTGTTACTTCCTGGATGTAGTCTGTAGCTCCAGGTCGGTATTTTTTTTTAAACAAGGATCTTCATTCTGTGTCCTGAGTTTGTCTGTGTGGACCTGGGTCTTTGTCTCAGCAGGTAGACCCCCTTGTCCACTGAAGAGAGACCCCTGTGAAGACCACAGACAGCAGGGCCCTGATCCCTGTCTACACTGCACTTGCCCTGTGTCTGCACTTCCGTGGTACTAATATCACAGAATCCAACCTGCCGTCAGAAACTATGTCCATGTCTCACAATATATCAGTGACCTCAACATCTCACGGTGCTCAGCCAGTATGTCAGTGACATCAGCATATATGGAGCGTGGAAGAGGTTATGGTCATAAATCTCTTCTTGAGTCACAGGATGGGTCACTACCATAAATACCACCTCGGGTGGTAGTATACATGATATTATACATGATGTTGTCTATAGCAACGGATGTAAGCATGCATCAAGGACCTCACCATAGTTTCCTGAGGCAGGTAGAATCTCAATGACAATGAAGGACTTCATCTTATTTGCTGGTGACAACAAGTAGCACTGACATCAACTTTGCTTCCACTGGTAGGTGGGATCACTAAAATAGTAATAATAATGTAGGACCAGGGATAATTAACATTCTGTAGCCTGCGGCAGCATGGATTGGGACTGTACCATAATGTTTGTTACCATGGAGTTATCATTGACACCATAGTTTCATCACAGAAGGTCAGATCATGGATTCAAACCTCTTCTCTCGTTGCAGGATGGACCCTCAACATCAAAATAGTTACAGCTGGCAGGTATCTGTAAGGTTATTTGTATCAGTAACTATTCTGGTGGCAATTAGGATTTTATCCATGGCATGGTCTACAGAGGGGCTACATTCATACATCCCGGACATCACCATAATTTCCTGTGACAAGTAGGACGTCATTAGGAATAATGAACACCTGATGGTTGCTGGTGGGCCCAAGGCAGCCATGATCTTGGATACACTTTGCTTCCAGGAGGTATCAATGACATTGATACAGTTTCAGAGGACAGGTCCATAGACAGAAACCTCTTCTCTAACAGCAGGATGAAACCCTGAATCAACAAGGGTACAGCAGGCAGGACATATTTCACATATACCATGGTCTCAGATGGCAGAAAAATGGCTCACTGACAGCAGTATAGATTCTGGTGGCAGTGGGAATCACTCAGATTAATGCGGTCCCAGGTATCACCAGTGATCACTGACACTGTGCCTGCTAGTGGCATCAAGGTTCATGGACATACAATGGTGTCTGTTGCCACAATGTATCAGTGACCCCAACATATCACAGAAAGGTTAACTCAACATAAACTTAGCACTATTGACTATTCACCCGAGGCTCTGGTAGGCACACTTCACCTGAGGCTCTGGTAGGCACAGGGTTCCTTGACATTAGCAATTTCTTCAGAAGCAACACAGGTTATATGTTTCAATATAGCTCCTGGTAGCATCATTGACGATGGACATCAATATAGTTTCTGGGTGGCACTTTGAATTCTTGATATCAGCGTGGTACTCATTCGCAACAGGGATCGCTGAAATTAAGGTTGCTTGTGGCAGGATTGATCTTGGGCAATACCATGGTATCTGTTTCTAGGTGTAGCATAGACATCAGTAGATTCACAGTGCCACAGAGAACATTAACATGAACATCTCCATGGACAGGATGGATCACTGACTTTACTAGTTCTTCTGATTGCAGTGTGGATCTTAGACATAATACAGTCCACAGCAGGGGCTACGACCTGCATCATGGACGTTTCATAGATTCTTTCACTGAGTAGTATCTTAAAAGAAACAGCGAACACAATCGTGATTACCGATGTCAGTAGACAGCACAGACATCAACACTGCTTCAGGTCACCAAGTCAGGTCACAGATATGAAATTCATCTCTGCTTGAAGCACAGTATACTTAAGTCAACATGACTTAGGCAGCAGTATTGACTTCAAGACAGACTCTTCTAGCAATAAGGATAACAGACATCAGCAAGGACTTCAGAGTCAGCATGGTCTGTGGATTATCGATAGAGTTACAGGTGACAGCATGAATGACTGACTACCTTCACTATATTTCTGTTGGCAGTTGGGATCATTGATATTATCACCCTGGTCCAAAGTGGCAGCACAAATCTCTAATATGATGGTTGCTATTGGCAGCAGGGATTCTAGATATAGTATGGTGTCTGCTGACAAGTGTATCCCCTGACATCAGTGTAGATTCAGAGAGCAGAAGTCATTATAGACATAAATCACCTCTCTGGTGGAATCAGGAGGGATCAGTTACATCAAACGTCTTCTTGCAGCAGCAAGGGTATTATTTATAACAAGGTCTACAAAAAGAAAATACATGCATGTATCAGAGACATCAGCACAGTTTCCAGTGGCAGGTAGGATCTTAGACATCAATCTGATCCCCAATGCCAGCTCAGAACACTCACCTCAATATAACCATACACATCAATATGCACTGTAATATTCAGCCTGTTCTCATGCAGCAACGCAGATCATTGACAGGGTCTTCCTAGGAAATAAAAACTATGAGTACCGTCATGTTTCCTGGGTTCAGCATACAGCACTAATAGCGACAAGGGTTCAGGTTGTAGGTCACATCAGAAGCTTGAAACTAGTGGCAATAGCAGCACACCCTACTAACCTTGTTATGACTTGGGCAGCAGTTCTGACCATGAACTTTTCAGTTGACGCTTCTAGGCATAGTGATCATAAGACATCAGCAAGCTCTTCAGAGACACCACTGACTACGGATCTCAGTGTGGTTACAAATGGTACAATGCATGAGTAAAATCAATATATTTCTCTTAGCAAATAAGACAGCTGATGTCACATTCTGGTCCAACGTGTCAAGAGGGATCACTAAAATCCTGGTTGCCTGTGGCATAGGGGATCTTGGATATGCCGTGGTATCTATTGCCAGGAAGTCTCAGGAACATCATGATAGTTTCAGAGGTCAGAAAGGACCATGAACAGAAATGACAACTATAGTGTCAGGATGGATCATGGACTTCAAAATTGTAACAGCTTAGAGTATACTTCTCATAAAGAACAGGTGACAGAAGCAATCATCACTGACATCAGTAGAGATTCCAGTGAGAGTTACAATCACTCATATTGATGCAGTCCCAAGTGGGAGAAAGGGTCACTGAGAACATTGCTGCATGTAGCCTCAAAGAGTGTAAACATACAATGGGGTCCCTTGTCATGATCAGTGAACTAATGGTCTAGAGCAGGGGTGACATGCATGCATCAGGGACATCAATGGAATTTCTAGTGGCATGTAGGATCTCATATATCAATGTGATCAGAACACATACCTCAAAACGATTTCTAGTGTCAGTATGGACCTTTAAATTTAGCATGTCCTCAAGCATTGGCAGAGATCATAGCCATGACCGGGGTCTCCATCAGTAACAGACACAATGGGATGTGTCGTGATCATTGGTCAAATCATACAGCACTGATGTCAACATAGCAGGTTTCAGGTATGATCATAGGTGTCAAAGGTATCTCCAGTAACAGCACAGCACTTACCTCTTTATGACCTTAGGAGCAATACTGACCATGGACCTTCACAATAGACTCTTCTGGCTACAGGATCACAGACAGCACAGAACTCTTCAAAGACAATACTATCTACAGGATCTCAACATGGTTACCAGTTGCATTGTAGATAAGTGATTTCAATACATTTAACTTGGCAGTTGGGATCTCTGATGTCATTAACTGGTTCAAAGTAGCAGTATGGATCCCTCAGGACCTGGTTGACTATGGCAGCATGGATCTGAGACACACCATCTTGTCTGCTGCCAGGAAGCATCAGGGCCATCAAGATATTCCAGAGGGCAGGGATGACCATGTTCAGAAATCTCAACTCTAGTGGCAGGATGGATCTTTGACATAAAAATTGTTACAGCTGACAACACACTTCTCATAAATAACAAGGTCTCATTGGGCAGAAGAATGGGTGACTGATAACAGTATAGATTCCACTGGCAATTGGAGTCACGCATTTTTATGTTGCTCCATAAGGCAGCAGAGATCACTATAATCACATCTGTTTGGAGGCCTGAAGTATCACGGACATACAATGGTGGATTTTACCACCATATATGTGACCTCTATAAGACATAGAACATGGAACTCAACATGACCTGGAGGAACAGTACGACCTAAAGCTTCACCTTCTGTTCTGCTAGCCTCAGGGATCCTGGACATTAACAATTTCATCAGAAGCATCGTGGACCATGGGTTTAAACAGGACCACTGGAGGCAGCATGAACAATGGATATCATCAGAGTTTCTGCATTTTGAGTTAGTGGCATTAACATAGTCCTCAGTGGTATCAGGGACCACTGACAACAAGGTAGTCAATGACAGCATGTACCTTGGGCAATACAAGGGTGTCTATTGCCACTTATATATCTATCAATGGCATCAACATAGATCAAAGGGGCAGAATAAATTTTGGTCATAAACCTCTTTTCCAGTGGCAAGATTGATCCTTGACAGGACAATTCTGGGGGCAGTAACAACCTTGTACATCACATGGTTGATAGCGGGCACGAAATGCATGTATCGGGGACATCAATGGGATTTCCTGTGGCAGATGGGATCTCAAGCATCAATCTCATCTACCGTGTCAGCTCAGAACACTGACCTCAACATACCCTCCAGCATCAGTGTAAACCTTGAAATTCAACAGGTTCTCAAGCTGTAACAGGGATCATAACCATAACCACGATCTCCATCAGCAATAGGGGCAATGGAGTCCATCATGATCGCTGGTCACAGCATACAGCCCTGACATCAACATATCTTCAGGTTGCAGTTCAGATCACAGGCATCAAACCCATCTTACGGCAGCAAATACCACTTACCTCATTATGGTCTTAAGAGGCAATACTTACCATAGACTTCACAATAGTTTCCTCTGGTTATTGATCAAAGACATCAGGTAGCTTTTCGATGACCACACAGACTATGAACGTCAACATGGTTACCAGTGACAGCATGGATCAGTCATGTCAATCCATGTCCCTGGGTCGTTGGGATCACAGATGTCATCAATCTGATCCAAAGTGGGAGTAGGTATAACTCCTGATCTGTTTGTCTGTGGCATCAGGGATCTGTGATATCACATGGTTTCCATTCCCAGGAAGTACAAGGAACATCAAAATCCTTTCAGAGGGCAGGTATGACCATGTAGAAAATACTCTTTTTCTAGTTGCAGGATGCATCCTTACATTAAACTGCTTGTGAATGGCCATAAGCTTCTTAGAAGCATAGATAACAGACATCAGTAGTGAGTCCATTGTCAGTGAATGAGTGTCACATTAATGTGGTCACAAGAGTCAGCAGGGAACATATTGACATATTGGCTACTGGAAGCCTCAAATATCATGGACATACAGTGGCATCTGATGCCACGGTATATGACTTTCAGCATATCTCAGAACATGTAACTCAACACGACCCAAGACAGCACAATCGACTGAACTTCCTTGTAGATTCTGATGGTCTCAGGAATTAAGATGCACAGTGTCTTCAGGAGCAGCACTGACTATGGATTATAACATGGCTACTAGAGGCAGCATGTATGATTTACATCATCCACGTTTCTGCAGTCCCTTTGCATCAGTGACATTAAAATGGTTCCCAGGGGCAGACGGATCCCTGACAGTAAGGTTGCCATTGGGAACGATAGTCTTGGGTCTGATGGCCATGATGTCTGTTGCCAGATTTTGTGTGTGTGTGTGTGTGTGTGTGTGTGTGTGTGTATCAGACATCAGCATTGACTCAGAGGGAAGAACAAATTATGGCCATGCACCTCTTCTCCAGTGACAGGATAGGTCATCAACATCACTAGCTATTCTGGTGGTAGTAAGAATATTGTACATTTTAGGGATGACAGTGGGTGCTATATGCATGCATCAGGGACATCAACAGAATTCCCTGCAGCAGGTAGGATCTCAGACATCAGTCTGATCTCCAGTGCCACATAAGAACAAATAACCTCAATATGACCTCAAGTATCAGTATGGACACTGGAATTCAGCGTGATCTCTAGAAGCACCAGAGATCATAGACATCAACCAGGGTCTCCATAGATCACCAGGGTCTCCATAGATCACCAGGGTCTCCATAGATCACCAGGGTCTCCATCAGCAATCGGAACCATAGACTCCATCGTGATCTCTGATTACAGCAGACCTCAACATAGCTTCAATTTGCAGATATGCTCACTGGCACCAAACATGTCTCCAGTAGCAGCACACAGCCCTTATTTCCTTATGACCTAAGGCACCAGTACTGACAATGAATTCACGACAGAGTATTCTGGTTGAGTTATCACAGACATCAAGGCCTCTTCAAAGACCCTGACTGTGACTCTCAACATGGCTACCAGAGGCAGCCTGGATGAGTGACATCAATATATTTCCCTTGTCAGCTGCAATCACTGCTATCATCAATTTGTTCCAAAGTGGTAGTAGCATCACTCACTGCCTGGTTGGTTATGGGAGTAGAAATCTGAAATATACCATGGTATCTGTTGCCAGGGATATGAAGATGGTTCCAGAGGGCAGCTATGACCATATAAAGAAACTTGTCTAGTGGCAGTTTGAATCATGATATCAAAATGATAAAAGCTACCAAGATGATTAACATAAATTGGGCAGAAGTGTGGAGACAGTGATGGGAATGTAGTTGCAACAAGCGACAGGGATCACTGTCATGACTGCTGGAGGCCTGAAGTACATATGACAAACGATGGTGTCCATTGCCTCACTATGTGTGACTTCAACATAATATATCTCAGGATAGGTAACTGAACATGACCTGAGGCAGAAGTACCGGTCTAAAAGATGAGCAAAGACTTGGCTAGCCTAAGGGATTCTAGACATTAACAATATCCCAGGGAGCATCATGGTCTTAAATATGGCTACTTAAACATGGCTACTGGAGGCAGCATGGATGATTGACATCATCATAGTTTCTGCAGGCATTTGGTAATAGTGACATTAACGTGCTAACCAAGATCAGCCAGGATCAATGACAACCAGGTTGCCAATGGCAGCATGGACCTTGGGCAATACCATG